ATCAAAAAAAAATATTAAATATCAAAGGAATAAATCTTTACCCAAAATTCAACTTGGATGAAACTATTCAATTGAAATCATTTTGACCTAAAATTGAAATACTTATTTAAAATCTTCAAGTGATATTCAAGAATAACTATAAAAACCATCATAATACTTATTCTAATTAATAAATTATAAATTAATTGAACTATCATCAGGTGTATGATGAAGATATCAACAAATCAGAAGATCTATATTAAAAGGATAGTAAAATAATAATTTAGGGTATATATTATATTGACTTGATCATAAATATGAGGAAGAAATAGCTTTAGATTAAACATTAAGGTTAAATTCAAAGCATTAATTGGTGTAAAGACATGATCATATTTTCATTTCTTAGGTGAGTGGCTGATTTCTTCAGGCATATAAAGCATTAAAAATCGATCCAAAAAATTTTTATTCATTCTACACAAAATTTATTGATTTATTAGAATTTAAGGCTTTTAACTAAGAATGTTGATTAATTATGAAGAAGCAATGGCAGTTATTGATTAATATCTTTAAGTAAATTCAAATCATTTGGATTCATTATGGTCAAAAGGTTGGGAATATTTTATAAAATATATCTAGGCAAGTTACTAAAATTGATTATTTATGAATGAAATTTATTATTAATTACCTGAGATCTCTACTTTGTTCCTAATAATTACTCAATATCCTGCTTAAATCTTTTAAAACTAAAATGAAAAAATAAAAATACAGAATGATGTTATTCTTCCATTTATTCAGCACATGAAAAAAGGTCTAGGAATGAACTAACTTGTTACTTACTAAAACTATGAACAGAATTATCTAGATTCTGTATGTTATCAAGAAGATGGTTTTTTGTTGGTTTATTTTAATTACTTTAAATTTTAACTTAACATAGTTTTATTGATTATTAACGTTTCAGATCCTAGTCTTCTTTAATAAAATGATTTAATACTTTTTGCTATTTTATTTCCTTAATTTATTGTAGCATTTGTAGTTTCGTATGAGATAAATCGTATTTTCTTTCACATATTCACATGATTCTTTTTGTGGTCGATTTATGATTTTAAGTATCTGCAATATGTTTTGAAATCATTTTTAAGTGAATCATTTCTAGGTTTTAAAATAATCATCTTATGGATCAGTTTAAGTCTACACTACTAGGTTAATAATAAATAATACATAATCTTAAGTAGGTTATTTATACTTTATTTATAAATTAGTAGTAATAGATTTCTTGAAATATTTTCAATTTAAATATTATCTTTTTAGTAAATTTTGACTATTAAAAGACGATGAAAATACCAATAATAATTAATACTAGAAAATTTTAATTATTTTTACACACCATATTAGCTAAATTTAATAGGTTTTATGAGATATTTGCATCAATCTAAACATAGATAAGAAGAAGATGATAAATGTTCAATGAAAACTACATTAAATTTAATTTTTGAAGTATGTTTTATAGAAAATTTATTATTTTATTTATATCTATCATTGACCTCAATTCAATTTTCACATCAGTTAATATTGAATAGACATAATCAAAGAATATTGTTTACATGTTTATTATAGTTATTAATTGCTCATTGTGAAAATATATAAAACCCTGAAAAAATTCTTCTACACGTTATATTCAATAATATTGAATTTTATTAATGAATGAAACAAAGATATGAATAATTTATTGAATATTAATGAGTCTCGCTTGTTAAATAATTCTTTGATATACTTTTATAATATTGATTAAAGGGTTATTAAAATTGTTCTCAATAAAGGTTAGGATTTGGATATTGAGCTGTTTATGTTGTATAAATAGGGAATGCATAAAGATATATAATAAAAAAAAATTTTAATTGAATTAATAAAGAACTAAGGATGGTTGATGTTTACCAGAATTGTGTATACAATATTATTATTACATATTATTTAATACATAATAATCAATAAATATCGAATCATCTATATTTAATACATAATAATCATAAAATATCAAAAATATTAATAGTTATTTGAGAGGATAATAGAATAAAGTGATAATAGTTATTAAACTCATGCTCTACTAATAAGAATAATTGGGCCAATAAAACATACTAACTTAAGAATTAGATTTTGATTTTGTCTGTGTCTAATCAATATTGCAAACTGTATTAATAACAATATTGGTAATGTATTTGCTATCTCCTACGATGATATTGAATATTTTTAATTATTTTGATATTTGGATATATAATTGAAATCCATATTGCTCAAAGTTTTCGTCTAGATAATGGTAGACCTAAGAAATATAAAAAGGTAATTAAGTGCCTGAATTCTCTATTTTTGATTGGCAATTGATATAAAATAAGGTTGCATTGAAAGTAAATTTAATAAATCCAAAAAAATAATGTAATTTTATTGATAGAAACAAGAAAAATTACTAATAATTAATCCATGTAGGTGGGTCAAAAGGAACATGAATCACTTTATAATTTGTGGTTGTCTAAGTAACAAAGTCGAGCTTCACTCGAGGTACCTCATTTTGACATTGCCCAAAAATTAACATGATTCAAATTTATTAATTTTATTTTTTATGCATTAATTATTTCTGACGGATTAAAATATCTGATGCTTTAACTAGGATATTTAACTTTTTATTTTAGAGCTACTCTCATTAATTTAACTCCTCATATTTAATATCTGTTTAAATTTCACTATCAAAAATTTAACACTATCAATCTACTCCAATATTAAAATTTTCCAATTAGTCATGAAGACCAATTTCTTAAATTTAGTTATAATTAAATTTTGCTAATAATTCTTCTTATAATGATTCAATTATGTCTCATGCTCAATTTTTCTACATCCGATACAGCTCTTCTTGCTGGTATAAATATCATTGCATTTAAAATTATTTTTCTACAACTAAACTCACATTAGATTATTTGTTATTCAAAAATACCTGTGAGGTGAGTTTAAAAATATTAATTTAAACTTTTAAATATAACTAACATTAAATGAACAATTAAAAAAGAGAAACGCTTGTTCTATAAACTCCATTGAAAATTTTAGATTCTCAGAATACTAGAATCTATACTACCATCAATTATTCAACTAATATTCCTGTTTTAGGAGTATCTTAAGATTCCATTTCATAACTGTTGTTAATAATTAAAGTATTTGTTCCACAATTTAGGTGGATTATTAAGCTGGTTATTTTAAGATTTATTATATAGAAAGTAAAATTGTTTTAACTAGAAATAATTAATAATGTTATTTTAACAGGCCTATCATAATTATGTGAATTAAAAATTCTTACTATAACAATTGAAGAAAGTAAGTTTTATAATAATTAAGCGCCTTTTGGAGGAGCCTAATAATAAATCTATTTATAAGACTATCAAGGGCAGATTTGCATTGGTATTCATTTAAGCACTCTAAAGATATTAATGTTTTAGCGTGTTAGACAATAAGGCCTTAGATATTGACAGTTGATTTCACTAAAATATCCTATGATTTGCTGATTTTGAAGATAAGGTTTAATA